TAAACAAAAGAAGAACTACAATTGGCCAACAAATATACAAAATATGTTCAACATCTCTAGCAATCAGGGAAATGCAAATCAATACTATAGCCAGATTTCATCTTACTCCTGTCAGAATGGCAATTATCAAGAATACAAATAATAATGTTAGTGAGGATGTGGGTGAAAAGGTATAGTCATACATTGTTGGTGGAAGTGAGAATTAGTGCAACCACTCTGGAAAGCAGCATTGAAACACCTAAAAACCTAGGAATAGAACCACCATATGATCCAGCTATCCCACTCCTTGGGACCAAAAGATCTAAAATCAGTATACTATAGGGATGTGTTCACATCAGTGTTTATAGCAGCACAATTCACAATTATGGACCCAATCCAGGAACCCATCAACAGATGAACGAATAAAGAAAGTGTGGTATATATAACAATGGAATACTACTCAGCCATAAATAAGAATAAAATTATGGCATTTGTTGGTAAATGAATGAAAGTGGAGATTATCGTTCTGAGTGAAATAAGCCAGTCCCCAAGTCAAAGGTCAAATATTTTCTGTTATTTGGAAATTAGTACAAAATAAAAGGGAAAAAGAAAGAAAAAAAAGGGAGAGGGAATTCCATCAAAATAGAAGACAGATTGGTGTACTAGATGAAGGGAACTGAGGGGGAAGCTGGAGGGATGGAATAAGAGAATAATGGAATGAACCTAACTTTCCTATGTATGTATATGAATATACCACAGTGAATCTATCATGAATAGCCACAAAACACTAACTTTTAAAAATGATGACATTTATCCAGAGTCAGATTATAAAATCTGGAGTCTGCTCCATGACCAAGAGCAGGGACTCTGGCACCACAATGACTTGCTTTGCACACTCTAACAGTGTGGGTTTTCCCATCTGTGAAATGGAAACCTCCAGGGCTGCTGTGAGGATATACTAAATGAACACATGCAAAGCCCTTATATCAGGAAGCATTTGATAATTGTGAGCTAACATTAACATTTATTAGTGATTCTGACCCCGAAAAGTAGGGCAGGGGGCATGCATAGGACTCATATCATATTTACAAAAAAAAATGTTGCATTTCTTGGCCTTTTAATAGTATGCTCCACCCTTGTGTTTTTCTCTGATCTCTCTTGCTTCCTCCTGTCTCCCTGTATACTTTTTAATCTAGTTCCTCTCTGACCAGCTCCAAGGTGAGGCAGGGCTATGGGCACCTTTGTGAACCTCACAGGCAGCTCAATTACCTCTGCAGGCTGGATACTCTGCTAAAATGAACCATTTATCATTATAAAATACTCCCCTGGCCCTAGAAAGTGTCTCTTATTTGATCCCCTAATTCCCTACTATCTAGAACACACCTACTTTTTTTGGGGGGGGGGTGTAGTGGGGATTGAATCTAGGGGCGTTCAACCACTGAGCCATATCCCCAGCCCTTTTTATTTTGTATTTTGAGATAGGGTCTGAGTTTCTTAGGGTCTCACTAAGTTGCTGAGGCTGGCTTTGAACATTGTGATCCTCCTGCCTCATCCTACTGAGCCACTGGGATTTCAGGCAGGCACTACCTACCTGCTTCTTTTAGCTTCACTTACATGATAGGTCTCTTCTTATCTTTGTCCCTTCAATTCTTTTGTATCCTGATATTTAAGCTGTGTTATTTTTAAGTCTCAGATTGTTCAGATTTGTTCTTTATCCAGGCTGACAATATTGTCTTTAAAATGGAATGTTTAATCCACATGTGCTTGATATACATACTGATGCATCTGGGTTTAAATCAACCTTCTTAATGTTTTCTCTTGCTCCCCTTGGTTCTATGACGCTTTTACTCCTTACTTGCCTTTTTTTGGATTACTTTGCTATTTCAAATTCTCCAGCTATTATTTTGTTACTCTTATGTTGTTTTAGGAAATACCTCAGAAACTGAAATGTGCCCCTTGCTTTATTGATTGCCATTTTAGTGTCTTCACCATCTTCCAGACAATTCAAGAACCTCAGAGTAACTCGGATCCTGGGTTTTGTTACCAAGAAGTCTTACAAGAATTATTCAGCTTCTCAGCCACTGTCCTTGAATTAGCAAGATCTTTGAGGGGGAAAAAAATGACACCAATTGTAGGTTTCAACTCTGGAATATAGGCTCTTACTTTCTCAACAACTCTCCAGTGCCTTAATAGATATGCATATTCTGGCTTTTCCAATTGTCTCAGCAGAAGGGATGGTGTAAGACAAGCTCTTCAGTCTGCCTAAAGCCAGGTCTCCACAAGCCTTATTTGTGTATGACTACTTTTTAAAGAGTGCAAAATCTGGGGTAGAACAGACACCAGTTCAAATCTGTTATGTACTGTGTGACTTTGGCAAGCTGTGTAAATCTTGGTGTTCTCATATGTGCTATTGTAAGGACTTTTTAAATTGCAGGTATAATGCTTAGCACAGAGCAGGAATACAACCAATGTTCAAGTATCAATAATAGTTTGAGCATTCTAGTTCATCATCTTATTATCATGTAGCTGGAAAGGATGGCACAAAACCAGCCTCTCCCCTGCATTTCCTCCTTGAGAGGTGGTAACAGGTAAGGACCCTACACAGGTCATAATCTTCCTTCCCATTTGTTCATCCTGTGGTTTTAAGATTCTTGTGTGCAATGGCTTGCCACCCCATATGGCAATGCATGCAGACACTGGAAGGTTTATTTTGGAAAGTAGATCCATTGGGGGAAGAGAGAATTTAGCAGTAGGATCAGGAAGTGAGCTTTGACAACATAACTCATGAAGTTGATCCCCTAGACTGGGGCCTCTAGGGTGTACCCACCAAATGTAACCACAGGGATTTGCTCTGGAAAGAAGAGTCAGAGCTTCTGTGTCTAATCCTCACCATGGCTGAGGCCTCATGGTGCTTGGGCTTCTTCCCATTTACTAATAAGCATCTTAGCCAGTAAAGAAACCTGAGGGCTCTGAAACAGGAAAGCTGAGTAGTTACTGTGGGCTCCCTCTATAAGAAACAACTTTTTGTCAAGTACTCCACAGTATTTTTTAATAACAGACTTGCATCACTCCACAGAACTTGACATCAACAGCATTACCACTGATTTCTTTGGTTTTAAATGTTTTAATTCTTCTTAAATGTCTTAATATTCAAACATCCAAAGTGTTTGAATAATTCATAATTCATTAATGTAAGATCCAATAAACATGCTTTCTACACACTCTGCAGCAGGTTTCCATGACTTTCCCAGGCTGCAGTTCAAGCTTGTGATGCTGGCATTACCACCCACAAAAGGGAGCCCTCTGGCCACACTGGGCCTCCCAAACAACTTGGTAGTTGAGGTAACTACATGCCAGAGCCTGGGCCAGTTATGCAGATCCCGCACCACCATTCCACACAACAGGCCCCAAGCTCTGACTCAGAACTAAAAGCTGATGTATGAGTCACCACACTGCAGTACCATGAGGCAAAACTGCCAGTGTGACTGTACAACTGAGGCTACAAACATGGCCTTTTCTCCCACTAATTTGAAAAACCAAATTTTAGTAGTGATGATGAAAAGAGCCAAAGAAACCAGTCAAAATCCTGACGGGTTGTGGCATCAAATGTCACCAAACTACAATGCAAAGGTCCAACTCTCCAGCCCACAGAATCACTTTTCTTTTACCCACCTCTCACTGCAGAAAGTCTAGTTTTTAATGTGATGTGTAAGTAATTGTGAGAAGTTCTTACATAAGGACTTATAAATATGCAAATATTAACATGTTCCAGAAACATATATCCTGGTTGTCACCAGCCATCACTTGGTCTAAGACCAGAGCCTAGGCTTCTCTTTGGTGCTCTCCTGCCATCTGGAAATGATCTCTAAGCTACCACAGCCATTTTGACACCATCTGGCCCCAGTATGAACAGAGCCCCTCCCTGAATCATCCAATACACAGCTAACACTGGACTGTAGTTTTGGGGTTTTTTAAAAATATTTATTTAGTTGTAGATGATCACACAGTATCTTTATTTTTATGTGGTGTTGAGGATTGAACCGAATGCCACACACATGTGAGGCAATCACTTTACCACTGAGCTACAGCCTCAGGCCCTAGACTGTAGTTTTTGATGAGGACTTACTGAGAGTGAGGCTAATATAAGGGAATTAAAAACGTAGGGAACCCCTGGCCACACCCCTTTAAGGGGATCTATGACTAGGAACATTCTCCTTAAACCTCAGCCTGAGGCTGTAGTACAGTGACCTGCTCATTTCTTCCAGAGTAGTGTCCCCCACAATGCCAGTCCCCCACAAATTCCACAGTTCCAATTCTCCTCCTTCTAGTTCCCAACAGAAGAGACAGAACTCCATCTTCTCTCCCCACCCTGACCCTGCCTTAGGATCTTACCCATGGAGCATTTCTGCCAGCATTAACAATTAATTCCCAGATTAAAATTCAGACCCTCTTTCTGGATGCAAGGATTCCATCAGCCCTGAAAAGCCATCCCTAGTCATGGACTCAAACAGCATTCAAATGTACTCCTTTGTTGAATAACTGCTTAGTTCTAATTTCTTCCAATTACAAAAAAAAAAAAAATGCCATGAATATCTTGAAAGCTAAATCTCATATGCAGGATACCTTTTCAAACTTTTGCTGATTGAAACGTATGCACTCACTCAGTGTTGAGTTAAATACCAGGCACTCTTCTAGGGCTAGGGATATAATAAATGAGCACAAACACTCCCCAACCTCAAATCCCTCATATGTTGTGGTAAGTCAAATAAAGAAACAAATGTAAACAACATCATCATTAATGCAAAGAAGGAAATTGTACTTCCAAGGAAAAGCTTCCATAAGGGAACTGGCAATTGTGCTGATGTCCATTCATGATTAATATTAATGAAACAAAGGAAGGGACTATGTTCTGAGCAAAAAGTACAGCAATTTCAAAAGTCCTGGAAGGGGAGAGTGCTGGAATTGGAAGACCAGAAATTAAGAGGGAGCTCAGACTGAAAGGAGGCAAGGGCTACCAGATCTTTCAGGATTTTGTAAATCATGTTAGTTTTATCTTTATTCTAAGAATAACAGGATGACAATGAATGATTTGGCACACAATTTTGCTACTTCACATTCCCCTATAGCTTCAATACCAAGTATCATCTTACAAAGTTGATAGTAACTTCTAGATACTATAGTACTTTGCTCCACCCCCACCACCCCAGTGTTTACCACCCACTTCTTAATTGGGTGTTTTATTTTTTTTAAACTGGACCTCAATTTTTTTTTCTACCGGCTGGAGACTCCATTTATTATATTTCCATCTTTTTTTCACCTATTTGCCTTTAAATTATATATGCTAAAATACTACATATACAGCAATCTTTTCTTTTAGGAATTCTGCTATAAAGATAGTTTCTTACCCCAATTTTATTTTCCTATATTTTCTACTCATATTTCCATGGTTTGATTCTGAGTCATGATGTCTTCATTGACACATACAGATAGAAACCTAATTACTTTTCAAGAGATAAACCAGTTACCCCTTGAAATGTCACCTTTAACATTATAAGTAAACAACTTAGATAATAATTCAAAGATATTTTCTAAATCTCCCACTCTGTTCTGTTACCTAACTATACATTCCTATGCCAGTAGTACCTTCATAATTTTACAATGCATTTCACATGACATAAGTTCTCCCATCCACATGTTTGATTTTAATTGGCTATCTTATAAAACTTTGCTCCTTTCTTATGAAATATTACATTGGCTTTTACAGAGATTTTTAAATAAATTGCAAAGGCTCCAGATTACCTAAGAATTAGGAAATATCCATCAGACAGGAAAAAAGGTAAACATGACCTTAAAGACTTCAGCAACCCTTCTAAACAACAGCTGAAGTTTACATAGATTTGTGCAAGTAAATAGGTTAGTTACTGAAAGTTTGAACAAATATCCCATAAGACCATTTACCATAATTCATAGTTGACTTTTTATTTAAAAAATTACAGGGAGCAATTTCTAGCATTTTTTTTATAAAAGTACTGCCTGTATCAAACATTTTATATCACTGTTAATTCCACTGAAGAGCTGCCTTTTTTTCTTTTTAAAGTACTAATTCCAACAGATGGGATACATGCCCTTAAAATAGAAAGTTTCCATCATTTATTCAAATGTCAAAATTAAGATTATTGACAAGTTTATTGCTTATGGCTGGGCAAGATGCTACTAGCACATTTTAGGTAAATAATATTCTTTATTAAAAACTATGAGGTCATTCTGTTTAAAACTTTCAGGATAATTCACAGAAAATAGATATATTTATTCAAATTACACATTGAAGGGCTGGGCTACTAGCTATAGACATTTATAGTTGAAGCAGCTCTTTAAAGAAATAATATGCCCAAGTAAGTCTGTCTTGATACACTACACATAATTGAAATGAAAAAAAAAAAAAAAACCTGGAAGACCAATATTGTTATGCTATATTCTGTTAGGATCTTTAAAAAAAAAAAATCACACATTTAGTAGTCCATTTGTGCTTAAAATATTCATATGCATGAGGAGCTTAAAGAAAAGAACACCTCTGTACATGATGATCAAAAGAAAGTTATAAATTTTTTTTTGAAATTGCACTGTTATTTAAACCACTTTCCTAAAGTCAGACCCTCCTTTGCTGCAGGCACAGTTTTTCAGGTCTAATTGGCAACCTGGGGAGGCCCCTCTGGTATTAGTGACGTAAAGAAGGTGGTGATAAAAGACCAAGCTGAAGCTATTAATCCAGGCCTTTGAATTGCACCGACATCTTCACCTCCATCTTCTCCACTCTCATCATCAAACCCATCATCCATAAGGCGCTCCTTTTAAACAAAACAAGAAACACTCCTGAGTGATCTGAACCACTGGTATCAACTCACAAAAGAAAAAGAGAGTTAAGTTCTTTTTGGAAAGGAAGAAAATGTGCATTTAATCAGAAATGGTTAATACATGGTCACTAGAAATCTTTTTTGGGGAGTTGGGATAACTGGGGTATATTCAGGGCCAATCAGCCACAGACCCACATCCCTAGCCCTATTTTGAATTTTATTTAGAGACAAGTTCTCACTGAGTTGCTTAGCACCTTGCTTTTGCTGAGGCTGGCTTTGAACTTGCAGTCCTCCTGCCTCAGCCTCCCAAGCTGCCATTAGAAATTTTGGGGAAGGTCAAAACTAATAAATTTGAACTTACATATACTTGAATTCGGTGGTCAAGTTTAAAGGGAAACCCATCAATGTAATGCAATAAAGTCTCATCTTGTGCATAATTTCCTTTTTAGGCTATTTTCAGAAAGAATGTTAGTCCTTCCCACTTAATTTTAATACATGACTAATCTAGTATTATATTCTAAATTCTCACCAATAAAACCACCAAAATTTATGTTTGCTTTTCTTCATGTGCCATTCCAAAAATATTTATAGAATATGTTGGTCCCAAACAATGCTAAGGAAATATCTGTATTTAAAGTTTAACAAAACTTCAATAACGTACCATTTCTTCAAGTTCTAAGTTGTTTGCATTTTGCCCATCATTGTTAACATCAATGTTGTTGGGAGCCTGTTGCTGACCTCCTTCTTGCCTAAAAGGAAACCATCCAGCTTGGTGTCTGTTCAGTATAATACAGGAAAGAGAAAATAGGTTGAAATTGTTTTTATTTGCAACATTATAAAACATTAATGTCCTACAAAAGAAAAATGATGAAACTATTACAAATGAAAAAAAAAAACAAATCTCCCACTTCAGGTCAGGAACTACCCTTCTCAAAGCAATGACAGCAAAACAAAAATCAATTCAAATCTAAGTCTACCATGGGCTTAAATGACTCTATGTGAGATATTAAGAGAAATCGGGAGTCACAAACCTTTTTTGGCATTTTTCAAAAAGAAATATAACTAGATATTTGTTGGTTTGTTGTAGAAGAGGGACAAGGGAAAAATCAGTCTACTTGTGAAAATACATGACTTGTATTTATATTTATACATCCTATTGGTAACTATAATTAAAACAAACATGTTTAGGCAGGAGTACATCATACATTTCTTCAAGTTCTAATTAAAAGGCCATATCTCATTGAATTCATAATTTTAATAAAATACAATAACAAAAACTGATTCTAAAATTCTGATAAACATTCTTCTCAGCATAGCCTATCCCTGCTTTTGGTATAAAAATATGTCAGGTATTCAAAGCATAATATCCATAACCCTGCACTTAACATTTACAACAAATATCCTATGTCAGGTTCTGTGCTGAACAATTTTAGAAATTAATTAAAAGAACCCACAAGTTCATGAACATCACTCACAAATAAACCAGTAGCATGGCTCCCATTACCATGATAAACCGACTAAAAGAAGAATAGAAGTAAACAATGCTAAGGAGAATGGCAGCACGTGAGAATGTGTACATCCAGTCTAGCCAGTCACGATTGAAGTCTTCTTCATTTAGCACTGGACCTCCCTGTGCATTCATTTGAACATTCTCATTCATGGGTCGATTTTCTTGGGCCACAAGGTTTGGGGGTGGTGGGGGTTCTTCTCCAGGAACATGTGGCAAATTTAGAGGCTGTGATACAGCAGGCTGGGCTGGGTTAGCAGTTGATGTGGCCTGAGCTGAAACTGCAGCTTGACTGAAATATTCACCAAAAAAAAAAAAAAAAAAATTAATGAACAAAAAGCTTTACCATACTATATTTTTTAAAGACTTCCTATGGAATTAAGATATTCTTCATAAACCTAATATGGAGTATCACAACTTCTGTACCACATTTTTTAGGTAAGTACAAATTCCAGTGGAAAAGTGGAGCCAAGATTGATCCATGTGCAGCTAAGAAAAGGATGCTCTCAGTCTAGTAGTCAAAGATGACAAGGGAGAGGTGGAAGAAATAAGAATAGCCACATTCACCTCTCTTCTTTTTCATTAAATTACCTTATAAACTAATCATTAGCTATCTCTTCATGTAGACCTGCTGCCATCCAGTGAAACTCTCCTATGTCTTCTCCTCTTGAATTTATAAAATGTTTTACTAGCAAAAGCATCTGAATACTAATAAATGTAATAAGGGGAGGAGCCAAGGTCAGGTTTACCTCATGTGAACTAGAGGTGAACCCTTTTTCCTTTAGACAAGTAAATTTAAAATAAAGTATCTGCTGAGATGTTTGTGAATTCTTTCTCATAATTTTGAATAACTGATTAAATACATAAGCAGATAAAATCCCAAATCAACTTACTTAGGATAAAATACAAAATAAAGCAAGTAACAGTAGTGAATAACTGAAAAAAAAAATGAACTCATATTAACTTACTATTGCATATAATACTGATGAGCATACATCTGTTGCCACCACAGCATCTGCAGTGGGCTGAAAGCAGGATACACTGGGATTGCAGGTGCTACAGCTTGCCCAGGAAACTGGTTATCTATGTTTCTGCAATAAAGAAATGAAAAAGTACAGTATTTCAATGCTTCAAGAGTTAAAAGCACTTCTCAATTTTTATTTCTGAATTCAAGTCAACCATTATCAAAATGTTTCAAATCATACTGGAAAGAAAAATTTTCAACATTCTTCAAATAAGACCATGCAACCTAGGACCAAGTATATAGATAAAGCAAGTCATTCACAATGTGTGTAGCAAGCCTAAACATTTCCTATCTTCTCATCTCAGCCCATAAAGCCAAAAAGTACTTTATGTACATTCTCCTTAAGAACCAAAGTCCTAAAATAAATTTCATGACAAAATGTCTTGAGGAATGAGAAAATGAGCCAAATGAAATTTTATATTAGCTTAAAATATTATTAAAAATGTCAGCCGGATGCAATGGTGCATGCCTGTAATCCCAGCGGCTCAAGAGGCTGAGGCAGGAGTTCAAAGCCAGTCTCAGCAACTTAGTGAGGCTTTAAGAAACTTGGCGAGACCATCTATAAATAATATTAAAAGGGCTAGGGATATGACTCAGTGGTTAAGTGCCCATGAGTTAATCCCTAGTGCCAAAATACACACACACACACACACACACACACACACACACACACACACGAGCTAATTAGTTGCAAAATAAAAATGAAGATGACAAAAATCTGTGAAATACATTTAAAGAGCCAAGAGTGGCCTAAATGTTGTGCGAATATAGAAAGTATGTGTATACATACATATCTTTAAATCTATATGTAATTGGGGAGAGGTTCCTGTGGTGGGTGCTCAAACACTGAACCACATCCCCACCTACCCCTTTTTACTTTTTAAGACAGGGTCTAAGTTGCTTAGGGCCTCAAAAAGTTGCTGAGGCTGACCTCAAACTTGCAATCCACCTGCCTAACCCTCCTAAATCACTGGGATTATAGGGATGTACCACACTTGGCTATGCATATATTTTTAAAGCTTAAAATTCTATTAATTCAGTAAGCTTGCAGACAAAACTCATTTAACTTCATTATTTCATTATGTCTCAGTTTCTCCATTTCTTTTTTTTTTTTTTGTAGTTGTAGATGGACAACTATTATTTATTTTTATGTGGTGCTGAGGATTGAACCCAGTGTCTCACACATGCAAGGCAAGTGCTCTCCCACTAAGCTACAGCCCCAGCTCAGTTTCTCCATTTCTAAAATGAAGCTAATAACAGAATCTTCCACAGAGGGTTGTTACCTACATTCCATAAATGTCAGCCTAGTTTTGTTTTTAATTCCCCACAATCCCTATCTCAGAACATGTCTCCAAAGTGTGTAATGTGAGATCTGTAGAAATTCATATATATCCAGACAACTATAGGGATACACATATAAGTAAGTGCAGAATTTATGAATTTGCTAATCCTCCTTCATATTACTTGAATTTTAAAAAAATACTTTTAGTTGTACATTGACATAATACCTTTATCTTATTTACTTATTTTTATGTGGTGCCAAAGATCGAAACCAGTGCCTCACACGTGCTAGGCAAGAGTTCCAACACTGAGCCACAACCCTAGTCCATATTACTTGAATTTTATCTTGGGCTGACAGTAGTTTGTTTACCCAGAGTGTGATGAGTAATTAATGATAATTATATATTCTAAAAACCATTTACACATACAATTGGTAATAGTTGATAATAGAGATCTAATTTAGAACAGCTGGGGGTGAGGGCTAAAACTTACCAAGAGGCTGTACTTTAGGAAACCTGGTGCTAAATGAGACACAAATACTCATTTCCATATTCTTCAATGTTCCCTATGTATTACTGAAACTTTCCTTATCCTTGAAGAAGTAATGAGAGCCAATATGAGTATCCTGATAACAGTTTTCCCCCTACTTCCTAAGCTTTCCTGAATACTCAATTAAGATGGAAAAGCAAAGCAGCTTTCTTAAAGTGGCTCCGGGCAATTGACAAGACCTGTATAAGAAGGGAAAATAAAACCTTAATATAGCTCTTCCCTTAAAAACATGTGAATTGTTGAACAAACCTAGAAAGAAAACCAGGGAAGAGAAATATTATAAAAAAATTTCTACAAAGATCTCAGCATTTATAACACAGGAAGCTGATACATCTCTGAAAACTATCTAAAGCAAGTACTACCAGTGAGATGGTTTCCAATGAGGAAAAATCACCCCCTTCCTCTGAAAGCATAGCTCCACCAATCTCTACTATAAATAAGAAACACAACCTCAAACAAATCTGTTACTTGAACTTGAAAAATGGGGAGAATGAACTTGGTCATTGTTTTTTAAAGTAGACAGAAGAAAAGTCACAAATAATAACTCAAAAATTTTTCTATAGCTTCCCACCTCACCCTATTACAGTCCAAAACACAAGGCAATTATTGAACACATGTTGCCAAACTAAATGAACTCCCCTAGATGATTCTGACATGCTTTCTACCTTTTATTCCAATAAGTTAAAAACTACTAGCTGGGCATGGTGGGGGCAGGCCTATGATCCCAGAAACTCAGGAGGCTGAGGTAACAGGATCCCCTGAGTTCGAAGCCAGTCTCATCAACTGTTAAACAAAGCCCTAAACAATTCAGTAAGACTCTGACTCAAAATAAAAAATAAAAAGGGCTAAAGATGTGGTTCAGTGGCAAAGAGCCAGTAGGTTCAATGCCCAGTACAAAAAAAAAAGAAAACTACTGAACTATATAGAATTGCTAAAATACATTCCAGGCTCAAGCTGGCATACTATAATTTTCAATTGTGCTTATTACCCTTCAGATAACATGATACACATTTAGCACCCTCCCTAAAAACAAGAATTAAATGATTGGATATTAAATTACAAGTTAATATTAAAGTATATAAAAAGAAATCAATGAAACATATAAGAATTTAATATATTTTGGAGGATGCATCATTAAACAAGAAGGAAATTATCTGGTGCTAGAAAAAATGATTACCAAAGTTGGTGGTAGGGAAAGGGAAAGTTAAATGCTTCACTTTTTTCCATTTGTTCAGATAAATTTCAAGTAGACTAAAATAAAGTAATAAAGAGATAATCTAAAGGAAAATGAGAATTATTTACCAAAATTTTGGACGAAGAGCTTTCCTAATTTAAAAAGCAATAGGAACAAACAGCATAGACACACAAAAAGCAATATATTGGACATCAAAATTTACAGAGAACTTTAAAAAACACTTGGCAATCATTAGAACAAATGCAAATTAAAACAAAGAGAGGTTTTTTGATTGTTTGAAAAGTTAAAAAGATTAAAGTAAAATCCAATTCTTTCAGTGCTAGTGACAGTATAAACTGGAAAAAGCCTTTTAAAAACAAGTGTACAAAATTAAGGACCTATAAAAAATGTTCTTTTATACCTATTTGTCCTAGTAATCTCGTTTTTGAAAATTAGCAGATATGAAATATGGAAAAAATTCACACCTCTGCCTTTTTAGTCTTTGTACATACTAACTCTCAGGATCCACTCATAAAACTATTCTCAGCCCTAATCATAAAGTTTTCCAATGGTGTTGTGATTAAGTTTTTGAAGTTTACGTCTACCAAATCTGTTATAAAGAACAGTAAAGTATTGCAGATGAAATGATATATCCAGGTTTTGCTTTAAACTCTGAGTCAAGAAAAAAAAAAAAAAAAAAGAAAAACCAGAGGAAAATAGATGGAACATGGTAGTTTGTTAATACTTGCTAAGGCTGGTATTAGGTACACTAGTGGTCATTATAATATTTTCTGGGTTTTTAAAAATATTTTAACCTACATCCTGGGAACAAATTTTTACTCCTCACACTTCAGATAGAGCCCTAATATCCAGAGTATACAAAGAACTCAAAAAATTAAACAATAAGGAAACAAATAACCCAATCAA